TTGTCTCTTTAACGGTCATGCCCCAAGAAGTTGTGGTGCTACAGTGGCTGGAAGAGTCTGAAGCAGCTCCATCTCCAGCTGGTGGAAACTGGCCTTGGTTTTAGAGGCATCATGCTGAGGACTCCCAAGTTCTCTAGACAACTCCTTCATATATGTAGATGTATAAATGCATACGTGTGTGTAATATATATATTATTTAGAATTTCTATTCTAAGAAAGTTCTTCACACATAGCCATAGCCAATAACAAGCTGCCTTCTTTTTTTGGTGGTACTTGGGGTAAAACCTAGGGCCTCTTACATGCTAGCCAAATTCTCTATTAAGCTACGCCCCCAGACAATCATAGCAGGTACTTTTTAATCCCAGCCCAGTACATCACTTATCTCCAAAGAAGCTGACTTTCCTTGGCTCGAACCCTGAGACAAGCTTCACTTGCAAGCTGTTCATTTAGGAGGTGTGGCCCCAGGAAGTGCTGAGAGGTGTGGGGAATGACAGGTAGGGGAGGCGTCTAATATAGATATACCGGTGAGCATGTTACCAAGGGGTGAGCAGTGGCAGGGGAAGGACACAGAATTTGCTCCACCTGTCCTTCCCAAAGGTAAGAGAGTGTGGTATTTATCCACCAGTTTTCGCCCCTTATTGGTTACAGGCTTCTCCTGGGGCAACACTTTTGCCCCAGCCTATATGCATAAATGTTTCTGTAGCTAAATAAAGCCTGCAGCCAGAGAAGCCCATGGACTTGCACTATGAAGCCGCTGGCAGCAGTTCCTACAGCATGACCTCAAAGGCTCTTTGCAGGCTGTTCCAGATGCCCTCTCCAGTCTCATCTCTGAGCATCTTCTCTGACATGCCTTCCATAGGGTCTGATGTTGAAGCCAAGCAGTCCAATAAGTAAAGATGTGTTGCCCTAAATGAAACTCGGATTAAGTGACATTCTACTCACACCAGAAACTTAATTCGCTTACTGAAAAGGAAAAAGAGATTAAATACACATTTTTCTTCCCTCAGAGTTTAAGAATCCCTTACAACAAAGGAAAAAGGATTACTTTGCACGTTCTTGGTCTTAATTAGAAAAGTCTTATTAGCTCAAGAAAAATATACTGGCCCTAAAAATTTTAAGTGAAGGCACAACACTGAAAATTTTTGCTTTATAAAGTGAAATTTCAATGAGTGTATCAAGGTTTTCCAACCTCCATGGTTATGTCTTTTCTAGCAATATTTTTTTGAGAGGTGGTAGTACTGGGGATTGAACCCAAGGCCTTGTGCTGCGCTAGATACATCCCTGGCCCTTTTTGTTTTGAGACAGGGCCATGCTAAGTTGCCTAGGATGGGCTTAGACTTGTGATCCTTCTGTCTCAGTCTTCCAAGAAGCTGGACTACAGGCATAGACCACGGCACTCAGCATGCATTTTAATAATATTAACGTTCTTAGGAAAAAAAATTTCACCAGTCATTCACATATGTTAGTTCAAATACAAATAACACCTAAGTTGAATAAATATACATTGTTAAAAACTTTCCTAGCCCCTGAATGGAGCGAATGATGGGTTTCCAACTTGGAGTGTGAGACTAGGATGAGGCAGGCTTGAAAAGGATTCTGACACAATAAGCCTATAGGTCTGAAGAGGGTTTCTACTATGATAAAGAGGAAATATCAGTTTATACATTAAAATAAACTCAAAGGTACTTTCTGAACATATACAAAAAAGGAAGCACTATCTTCTACTTTCTACACCCAGATCAAAAGTTAAATACTAGTTTAGCTAAGTGGATTTTAAAAGATTTTTTTGAGGGCTAGTTTGGGAGCCATGTAACACCTCACAACTTTTAAGTATTTTCTGAATAATGATTATTCAGACCTGAAAGGGCTGAATTAACTATGATTAGTGCCTGCACACAGCCCAGTGATTCGAGCAGCCCTTGTTACTGCTCTAGTTCAAGTTTTTGCTCAACTATCATTGATTCAATGAGGTAAAATTTGACCAGCTTATTTAAAATTACAATTCCATTCCCTGTCTACTTTTTGTAACACACCTAAAAATATAAATATATTATGTTCATTGTCATCCCCACTAACAGTCAATTCACAAATGCAGAAATCTTTTGCTCTGTTCAGTGAAAAACTAAATTTCTGTAGGATTCCTCTTGTGTTCTGACACTGAAAGACAGACCTGAAGAGGATGCAAAGAAATAACTTTCCCAGATGATGAAAAATTAAAACGGATACACAGTCAGCACATGAGTTCTTCTTCCCATGCCCAAAGCAAAAGTTGGTCCTTTCCCATTCCTCCATAGGTAAATCACTAACGTGTTACTTTTGAGCAGATTAACAATTATAATTGGTGTGGTACCCTCATATGATAAAGTGCCCACACTATCTAATTCTATTCATTTTATAGGCTATTTATGAAGGAGGTAGTAATGGATCAAGACTAGAGATCAGAATTGTGCCCACCTACCCAGTATTTGTTCAATATTTGCCATGTGTCAAACAAAGATAATTAAGACCGCATATTCCCTCTCAGGAAATGAGAGAAATGAGCTCGTTATTTAGTTGCAGGTATCTAAGTTGCAAAAATTAGTAACAGCCTTTGATACTGCAGTTAGAGATATCTGAACAACAAAGTGTGATGCTAATGTAAACGAGAGTACAAAGATTGAGGAGAAAAATAATCTTTTCTTTTTTTGAGTTAGAATCTCACTGTTGCCTAGGCTGGTCTTGAATTCCCTGGGCTCGTGATCCTCTGGCTTCAAACTCGCAAGTACATTTTTGTTTTAGAAGTCACATGTGGCAAAAATGTGGAGGATGAACTAACTGAACCTAGTCAGACTGGAGAAAAGATCAAAACAGCGGTGTAGAAGAGAGGTGAGTCCAGCTGAAATTAAGATAAGAGCAAGGGGGGTATTCATTGGGAGGGAGTAGATAGGAGGAGTGGGAGAAAAAGGTGGATGGTGGTACAATTCATTGAGTGAACACTGGATACTATATACTTTCGATGCATTGTATTAAATCTTCCTGATATGATTAATGAGAACTAATATCATTATTCAAATTTTATAATGAGGATTTGAGCCTTAAAATGGAAAGGTAACTTGTTAAAGCACTTTCAGCTAGACAACTGTGATTAAAAGTCAATGTGAAGATGGGGCAATCAATAGTGGAAGTTGTCAATAAAGGTGGCAAAACAGATCAATAGGCTGGCAGTGGTGGCACACTAGGCACAAGGCCAGGGTTCCAGCCCCACCACATAAATGCACACGTACACACACAAACACACAATCACAATGTCTAGGGACCCTGGTACTATGGAAGGCCCTAACAACCCGGCATATCTATTTCATTCTAGTGGTGAAGACAGAGGCTTCCTTTCAAAGATTCAGGAATAAACAGGTGGGAGAGACATGAAGACAGTGGGTATAGATTTCGCCTAATAACACGGCTGCCAAGAGAGGTCATATCTACCATAGGAAGAAGAGTCCAAGGAAGGCTCGTTTCAACTTGTTTAAAGTATCAGACAGACGTGAGCATGCAACCCGCGTGGACTGTACCAAGAAGAAAAGAATGAAGTGGCGGAAAACCTGTTAAGACAAAAAAACTATCTGATGAAGCGAGAATCACTGGGCACTAGGGGTCGAGCACTGGCTTTGGGAGATGGTTTTCCACACCTGAGAATTCTTCCAACTCTCCTGAAGGCTGAAGGCAGAGGGAAAAACAAGCAGAGGAGGCCTGCATGGCACCCGCAGGAGCAGGAGGGGCAGATCTCCGGGGGTCTGGGTCACCGCTGCCGGGCGCTAGTCACCTCGCCATGACAAATGCCACGTCCGGGGTCAAGAGCGCGCGGCCCTACGCGAGTCTCACAGCCACCAGGCCCGCACCGCGGGGACGCCGAAGGCCGAAACATCGGGAGGGGGTCCCGGGGCCAGAGCCCGACCGACAAAGCTGGGGCGAGGTCCGCGCACCACCGGGGCGCAGGGACACTAGGGCGCGAGAGCGCGCAGGGCGGGCCTTACCTCTGACATGCCCCTCCGGCTCGCTCCCGCCGTGTCGATGAGCGTGTTGTCCAGGTCGAAGAACACGGCCCTCACGCGGGTCAAGCCCATGGCCCAAGTGCCCGGCCACTGCCCGCCGAGCCACTTGGGTAGGCGTGAGGCTGCCCGCGGGAGAGGATGTGGACCGCTCGCGACGCAGCCAAGAGCGGCTGAGCTAGTTCGCTGTGGCCTCTCTGGAGCTCCCGCCAGTTATCGCGTACCTGAGAGGCTGAAACGGGAAGATCCCGCGAGACTCCGGAGTCTGTGCCACATCGCGCGTGCGCATGGCGGGGTGTTCGAATTGTCTCGACTAGCGGCCGCCCCTGTCTTGTGTGCGTCGATGGGGGCCACCGCCCGCGGAGGAAGACTACGGTTCATTTTGACCCCAGGAGAGTAGCCTCCAGTCCCTGTACACCCTAACGGTCTTCGGTGATCCCTTTCGGCCTCACCCGCTCCTCGCCCGGGTGCCCCTGAATGGCCTCTCGCAGTGATTTCTGGCGAGTTCCGGCTCGCGACGCTCCTGCCCTAAGCGACAGCGTGGGCCTGTGCCTGTCCTGCGGCCAGCGCACCCAGGGTAGCTCATTTTGCTGGACTCGGGTTATGTTTAAAATTGAAAGTAAAGCTGAGAATAGAATAACTTGGTTAACTCTTTCTGTTATCCTGATATTGTAAAAACTCTCAGTGTTGTTATCTCTTCATTTTTTATGTGCTGGAGTGTTGTAGAACTTCGAGACAGGAGAGACTAAGGGGAATCAGGAGGGCTTATTTCAGATTTTAGGCGAACACTCAACTGACTTGTCCAAAGGAAGAGCTCAGAAAAACGGAAACATTAGTCAAAAGCGTGTGTCGGGGGGGAGGGTGTCTTTCTAGTGATGTGAAACTGGGGAGGTGGGCAAGCGAGGTAACAGAAGCAAACTAAAAGAAAGGGTGTGTGTGAGGGAATGATCCTAGGAGGGGGGAACTGCCCAAGGCTAGGAAGAACTTGTTCTTAAATTCTGCTTCAGGACTCCCCCCCCCAACATCTTGTTATTTTGCCCCTAAATTCACTGTTTCTAAGGAGAGTTTTTGAGTAATTTTATTGAGATATTATTTGACCACAAAAGAAGCATAAGGGGGCCGGGGATTTAGCTCAGCTGTTCGGTCACCTGCCTCGCAAGCGCAAGGACCCGAGTTCGATCCCCGGTACCAAAAAACAAAACCAAACAAACAAAAAAGAAGCATACCTTCCCCCTACACACACACGCACACACTCACACGGAAAGGAACCCAAACTTTCACACTGAACTACATCCCCAACCTTTTTATTTTTTTGTTTTAAGAAAGGGTTTAGTTACCCAGGCTTGGCCCAACTTTGTGATTCTACTACTTTGGCCTCAGAGTTCTGGGCTTACAGGTGTGTACCACCACACCCAGCTGAGAAGCACAGCTTTTAACTAGATAGTTTGAGAAGTTTTGAGAAATGTGTGCAGCCATGTAACATGGCACCTCAATCACAGAACATTCTAGGAAGTTCTTTGATATAGGGCATCAACTCTGAAACATACATTCAAGAATCCTCAATAAAATATTAACAATCTGGCAGTGTGGGAAAAGGAAAATGATATACAGTTAAACCTTGGTTTGCAAGCAGTTCATTCTGGAAATATGCTTGTACTCCAAAGCACTTGTGTATTCAAAGAGAATTTCGCCATAAGAAATAATGGAAGCTCATGATTCATTCCATAACCCAAAAATATCCGTGTAAAATAATTACAATATTGTAATATACAAAATAATAAAAATTCAAAATATAAAGAAAAATAGATAACCTGCACTTAACTGAAAACTTTTGTGGCTGGAATGAGAGAGACTAGGATTATTGCATAGGACAACTTTCACTATCACTAATGGAATCACTACTGTCAGCTCAGTGGAATCTTTTCATGCAACTTTAACAAGAAACCCATCCAATGACACTTGCTTTTGCCTGTTTTTAAAATTTCATGGAAATGTGACATTGCATTGTCATTACATAGATTCATCAGTTGCATTGCTACAGTCTTATATTCAGGTGGTGTTTTTCTACAAAATGTTACACACCTCCCCAATCTCATTTGAAGTGAGGGATTCCTTTGCCTTTTTGTCCTCCTCTGCCCATGAGATCTCCTTCATACCCTCTTAATGTTGGGAGATGATCACCCTCCTGAAGCACAGTCTGAGAATGGGGTTGTACGGCAGGCACTGCACAAGACCAGGGTGCGGGGAGCATGCAGCCATCACTGAGGGCTTTCCTGGCAAACAGCCCCAAAGCACAGGTCACACTGACAGAAGCATTAGGCCAAGGCCTAACTCTGGCCTGTGGGTCTCCTGTAGATCTCTGACCTCCTGGGTGGCCCAGACGTGGGACAGGACACCTTGTCTCCTGAGGGTGGACACAGCTCAGCTGCTACTTCTCTCAAAAGCCACTGCCGCCCTCCTCCCCACAGACAGCACCCCTGAGAGACCTTCATGCAGCCCTAGCCAGACAGGACCCGCACAGAGAGGCTTCACCGGCCTAAGTGCCCCTGGGGCCCCCTTGGGGTCTGGTACTTCAGAGTGAGGGGGGTGTCTCCTGCTGCACCTCTGCCATGCCAGGCCCCATCTACTCTGAAGTGGCTGGGCCACACTTCTCCAGGGACCTGGCCCTCATCCTGTCTGGGACCTGGCCTGGCCCCTCCTGCAACCCAGCCACACCCTCTCTGGTGACCCTCCTGGTTCCTCAGGTGGGCACCTGAGGCAGTCATGCTGCAGTGTCCCTCTTCCCATCTGGACCTGGCTACACCCACTCCTCTTGTGACCCCTCTACCCTGTGACCTGTGCTCAGTGCTATGTGTCCCACAGACTGCCACCTATGAGGAGAGTCTCCCAGACCACTGGGTGAGTGTCTCTCCTCAGCAGGTGAGGAGGCTGTCCATGGCCTCTGACTTGTTCAGGACTGAATTCCTGGGCAGTGCCCCAGGCCTTGCTGACCCCTGCCTGGGAACCAGTGGTTCTTATTTTCACTGCCAGGCTTCATCCTCCTTTTGAGCAGCCAAGAGCCAGTCGAAGAGTTAGCTTCAAAGAAGTTAGCTTTAATAAATGACCTTCCTCTATATATCAGAAAAGGGAGGAATTGCTTTGGGGGTTTTGACCCAAAGGTTAGCACAAAGCCTCTTTCACCAGTGAACAGTACCTTCTCAGGACCTTGGAGGGGGAGGTTACTGATGTCCTGCCTGCTTGTATAGGTCTGCGAGATCACTTGTTCACAAGAGCGAGTTACCTTTGGGCCTATAGGCATCAAAGAAGGAAGATTAGTCATAGTGCCCATTTTCATAACCTCAGGAGTATCTAAAAGTATAGCCTTACACTTGGTAAGCCATTCTGGTTAACCACAAGTAAGCTTTTGTCTCCAGAATAGCTCTGACCTGATGAGGAGTCAGAACTTCTTGTCTCTGTTACACAGTTAACTTTGTAGCCTCTTCTGCTAGTGCAGCTGTCACTTTCCTCTCAGGTAGGATGGCCATCCAGCAGCTGCCCCATCTAAGTTTTTTGAAAAGTATGCCACTGAGCAGGGTTCTTGTTCTAGCCTTTCAGTCAAGACCCTCAAAGCAATTTCTCCCCTTTCTGATATATAGAGGAAGAGGGGTGACTGGGGAGCCTGAGTAAGGGCATGCTTTATTTTTCTAAAGGCACGGAGTCACTTTTGTCTGCTCTAAGGGCACAGTCTTGGGGCCACTTATTGCCTCATATAAAGGCTTTATTAGTCCAAAGTTAGGTAGCCAGATCTTACAAAAGCCTGCCAATCCCAGGAAAGAACGAAGCCGTTGATGGCAGGAAAACCCAAGATAAGAGATAGCTTGGATCTGCTCCCTAGACAGCTGTTTTTCTCCAGATGTAAGAATATATCTCAGATAATGAACTTTTTGGAAGAACATCTGAGCCTTTTCTTTGGAGACTTTATATATCCCTTCTTAGCTAGAAAGGTAAGTTAGTACAGTGTTATGGTCCAACCCTGAGTTGGACTGCAAACTAGAATGTCATCTACGTACTGTAGGATGGCTCTTTGTTCTAGCTTTAGGTTCAAGTCATTTTCTAGTGACTGAGCAAAAAAGGTGAGGACTGTCTCTAAATTCCTGCAGAACTGTCCAAATATATTGCTGTTTCTCTTTTGAATGGATTTTCCCATTGAAAGGCAAAAAGAAATCGAAAGTCTGGATGTAGGGGGATGGAGAAGAATGTTTGTAAAATCTACAATTGAGAATTGCCCATCAATTGGAGACTGGATAAAGATGTGTGTGCGTGTGTGTGTGTGTGTGCATGCGCGCATGTGTTTAAAATAAAATGGAGTTCTACTCAGCCTTAAAGAATGAGAAACTAGAGACATTTATAGCTAAGTGGATGCACATGGAGGCCATATGCTTAAGTGAAATTAATAGGACACACATGTAAATACCGTGTAGTTTCTCTGGTGTGAGGAACTGAAAGTGTAACTAAGGATCAAAATGTATAATTGATATTGTGAAGAAAAAGGAAGAAAAGGTCTAAAGGTGTAGGGGAAGTGGGAGGGGTAGGGGAAAGGTAAGAAGGGAAAAGAAAAAATAAGAGAAAAGAAAAAAATGGAAACAGTCTGTAAATAGGGAAGGGTAGAGGGTGAAGGGAGGTCAGGAGAATGGGGAAAAAACAAGAACCAAGATATGTAAAGGTACAAGATCCCAACGATGAATATAACTGTGTTGATATGCCTAAAATGCACCAATAAAAAAATCTACAATTGAGAACCAATTAGTATCCCCTGGATTTGGGGAGAGAATCGTATATGGACATGACATTAGACGATGGACTGGAATGACAGCCTCATTAATAAGGCAGGGTCTTGAACCAACCTGTCTTCTGAGGGTTTCACTACAGGAGAATGGGAGTACTGCAAGGGGACTGACAAGGCTTCAAAGGCTGTATCTGAGAAATCTGTATATAAGGAGCTGGAGGACTTTATGAGCCTCTTCCTAGATTGGATACTGCTTTTGTTTAGGAAATCAGCTAGGGTCTTTTATAATTACTGGCATATCTGAGTTTTCCCTACCAGGTATTCTCTTATACCATGCAGCAGGAGTTACCTGTTGGCTAATCTGGCCAAGGAGACCCGGTATAGTCCCAGCAAGTAAAATCTGTTTAGCCAGAATTTGCGAATCTTTCCCAATTTTGTTAATAAACCTCTTTAGCAAGGGAGTGGGACACTGTGGGACAATTAGAAACTCATGGTTAAACACCTGACCTTTAAAGTGTCACATCAGAGCAGGAGTAAAGATTCTGATGAAGGGTTATGGATATGAATAATATGAATATATGAATTATCAGATATTCTAGAAATATTCCATGCCTGGTGAGTATGTCTAAGCATAATGAAGACTAGGAGAAACTTTAATGTTCACTGTAGTGTAGGTATTTAAAAATAAACTGCTCACTTATAGTTTCATGATACAATAAGTTTGTAACAATGTAACCTCATTAGAAATTGAGCAGTTTAGTATTTGAGAACACTATATAAGACATTTTATAAAATATTTTAATATTAAAAAGACATTTAAAAGGAGTCCAATTCATAGCTTAACATTTTAAATGTATTCTTAGGGGTCAGATTTTAATGAATATTTTACCCACAATAACTGCCTATTTTGTTATAATAAAAAAATATAAAAGGGCCGGGGATTTAGCTCAGCGGTTTGGTGGCCTGCTTTGCAA